TCTTTATGATTGTTCCCTAGTATAGGTCAAATTTAATGGTACTCTTCCTTCCATGTTCACCCTGTTGAATGATATTCGTGAATGCTGCTGTCACGGTTCACTATGATTCAACACACAGAACAGAAAATATATTACTGGGCCTTAGATTGACTGAAGGCAAAACAGAATAGTACTGGACAAACCCGGGTCAGGAAGAGAGAGAGTAGCATAGACAAGAAAACTAACCAAAGGTCAGGGACAATAGATAATAGAATGGCTGAGAGCAAGCCAATATCAGATAAGCCAAAAATATACAAGGATAATGTGCACTTGGAATAACCATAGAAAGTACAAGACCAAAAAAGGGTTTATATAGCTGTAAGAAGGCAGCCATTACTCATTTTGACCTATGTTATGCCAGAACAGGGTGCGCATTGCCGACATGATGATGCACACATGTGGTCTTAAAAGATGTAGCCTGAAAGGCTCCGGCGTGCCGCAGCCAGCACCAATAAGGATGCCAGAAAGAGGAGCAGCCGCATCGGAGAGAGACGTGGATGATGTTTCCGGTGAGGAAACGGACTGGACTGCATTGGAATGCAACTCATGCACCCACATTGGACACGTGCTGTGACAGCTGTTCTTTCTTGCTACTATTGTTTGTCTTCTTTAGTAATATTTTATGTACATTCCATTCCCAGCCATGGGCCTTTACAACCTTTTCATGGATCCACCACTCCACCAAGATTATCTTTGTACATAATTGTCACCTGTTAGGTCGGTGCATTATTCTGGCGTTAAACAAGATGTGGTTACCCATTTGTCTCCATAATCACGTCACATTCACATACATTTTAATGCAAACAGTCACCTGCCTTACATGTTATTCTGGTGTCTTATTGTGTATTGGTGTATTATTTTGGACACTGCTTGCTTCGAACCTGCGTCTATTTATGAGTGCGAGACTTTTACTATGACTTTCTCATATTATCCATACACCTACCTGCGTCATTCCTGTTACATCACACTCATACATTTTGCCATAGCAGGAGTGACACAGGCCAGTCACAAGAGTCTTATGTCTATTTAAGCCCTCCCTGCATTCTTTGCTTTGCCCTGTTATTGGCTCTAAGCTATATAAGGCCTAAAGTAACACTCAAACAAGACATCTAGAGACCCATTAGTTGTAATACTGAAATATCTGCTCTATGTGGGTATATGGGGATGTGCTCTATATGGGTAAGTGGGTACAGTGCCCTGCAAAAGTATTCACCGCCATTGACTTTTTACCTGTTTTGTTACATTACAGCCTTAAGTTCAATGTTTTATTAATCTGAATTTTATGTGATGGACCAGAAAACAATAGTCTAAATTGGTGAAGTTAAATGAGAAAAATATATACATAAAACTATTTTTCAGAAATAGAAAACAGAAAATTTACATGTGCATATCTATTCACCCCCTTTGTTATGAAGCCCATAAAAAGCTCTGGTGCAACCAATTACCTTCAGAAGCCACATAATTAGTGAAATTATGTCCACCTGTGTGCAATCTAAGTGTCACACGATCTGTCATTACATATACACACCTTTTTTGAAAGGCCCCAGAGGCTGCAACACCTAAGCAAGAGGCACCACTAACCAAACACTGCCATGAAGACCAAGGAACTCTCCAAACAAGTAAGGGACAAGGTTGTTGAGAAGTACAAGTCAGGGTTAGGTTATAAAAAAATATCCATATGTTTGATGATCCCCAGGAGCACCATCAAATCTATCATAACCAAATGGAAAGAACATGGCACAACAGCAAACCTGCCAAGAGACGGCCACCCACCAAAACTCAGGGACCGGGCAATAATCAGAGAGGCAGCACAGAGACCTAAGGTAAACCTGGAGGAGTTGCAGAGCTCCACAGCAGAGAATATAGAACGACAATAAGCCGTACGCTCCAAAGAGTTGGGATTTATGGCAGAGTGGCCAGAAGAAAGCCATTACTTTCAGCAAAAAACAAAATGGCACATTTTGAGTTTGTGAAAAGGCATGTGGGACACTAACAAAATGTATGGAGGAAGGTGCACCGGTCTTATGAGACTAAAATTGAACTTTTGAGCCATGTCTGGCCCAAACCCAACACATCACACCACCCAAAGAACACCATCCCCACAGTAAACTTGGTGGTGACAGCATGATGCTGTGGGGATGTTTTTCAGCAGCCGGGACTGGGAAACTAGTCAGAGTTGAAGGAAAGATAAATGTTGCTAAATACAGGGATATTCTTGAGCAAAACCTGTACCACTCTGTGCATGATTTGAGGCTAGGATGGAGGTTCACCTTCCAGCAGGACAATGACCCTAAGCACACTGCTAAAGCAACACTTGTGTGGTTTAAGGGGAAACATGTAAATGTGTTGGAATGGCCTAGTCAAAACCTAGACCTCAATCTCATTGAAAATCTGTGGTCAGCAGAGTTGAGCGAACCCGGACTGTAAAGTTCGGGTTCGTACCGAACATTACGTTTTTTGGACCCCGGACCCGAACATGGACCTATCACTGTATGTTCGGGTTGGAGTTCGGTGTTTTAAAAAGTTTTAAAAAGTAAATTTTTTGGGTGCTAGATAGTACATTAGTGGGGTGCACTTCATATATTAGAGTCAAATAGAATCGTCAAATACTGCTGTCACATTGCAGTTTTAAAACTTTACATTTTGGGGTTCTAAACTGCTAAATAGTATTTTAGTCAAATAGAAGCATTTAATAGTGCGCTTACAGCGCAGTGGTAAACATTCTAATTGTTTTGCTGCTAATCTGCTAAATAGTACATTTTGGGGCCTGCTCTTCATATCTGAGAGTCAAAGAGAAGCGTCTAATAGTGCGCTTACAGCGCCATTGTAAAAATTCTATTTTTCTGAGTGCTAATCTGCTAAATAGTACATTTTGGGGCCTGCTATTCATATCTGAGAGTCAAATAGAAGCGTCTAATAGTGCGCTTACAGCGCAGTGTAAAACATTCTAATTGTTTTGCTGCTAATCTGCTAAATAGTATATCTTGGGGCCTGCTCTTCATATCTGAGAGTCAAATAGAAGCGTCTAATAGTGCGCTTACAGCGCAGTGTAAAACATTCTAATTGTTTTACTGCTAATCTGCTAAATAGTATATCTTGGGGCCTGCTCTTCATATCTGAGAGTCAAATAGAAGCGTCTAATAGTGCGCTTACAGCGCCGTTGTAAAAATTCTATTTTTCTGAGTGCTAATCTGCTAAATAGTACATTTTGGGGCCTGCTCTTCATATCTGAGAGTCAAATAGAAGTGTCTAATAATGTGCTTACAGCGCAGTGGTAAACATTCTAATTGTTTTGCTGCTAATCTGCTGCTTACATTGGAGTTTTAAAAAGTCCATTTTTTTTTTGGTGCTAAATAGTATATTTGGTGTGTGCACTTCATATCTGACAGTCAAATAGAAGTGTCAAATAGTGCGCTTACTGCGCAGTTGTAAACATTCTAATTGTTTTGCTGCTAATCTGCTAAATAGTACATTTGCGGCCTGCAGTGCACTTCATATCTGAGAGTCAAAAAGATTCTAATTGTTTTGCTGCTAATCTGCTGCTTACATTGGAGTTTTAAAAAGTAAAAATTTTTTGTGCTGAATAGTATATTTGGGGTGTGCACTTCATATCTGAGAGTCAAATAGTGCGCTTACTGCGCAGTTGTAAACATTCTAATTGTTTTGCTGCTAATCTGCTAAATAGTACATTTTGGGGCCTGCTCTTCATATCTGAGAGTCAAATCGAAGCGTAACTTTGATTCGAATTTACTACATCGGTCACTTGTAATATTGTGTCACACCTACAACACTTGTTACACAGATCTAAGTGATAGAAAACAGATTGATATTTTCTACACTAGAAACTACCAGATGACAAGCTGCTATGTTTAAACCAGTTATCAATAGCTAAGAGATACTTAAACAATATTGTAATTCTGGAGCAATACCCTCACAAGTCAAACTGAGAGGTCAGTTTATAGTGAAAACTGTTGCCGGGATAAAATTCTAAAACAATTTCCATATGTCCTTTGCAGAATTTACATGCTGGAAAAACACAGGTGCCAACTGCTGTGACTTTCTGCAGTGTGCATACCGGCAAGGAGGGCAGGGTTGAAGAGTGGGTGGAAGATGAAGTGGAGGATGACGCGGTCCTAGACCCCACATGGAATCAAGGTCATGCAAGTGACTTGTGCAGTTTGGAGGAAGAGGCGCTGGTCGCACAGATGCACCAGCACACATAAGAGGGAGCAGGGTGCAAAAGCGGAGTGGCCGCCCCCTAGCGCTCGTTGGCATGTATTAGCTCGAGAATTACCAGTTATCCAAGTAATACATGTAGTGATCAAAGGATCCATAATAGAGTTGAGCGAACACGAACTGCAGAGTTTGGGTTCGTACCAGATATAATGATCCATTCGTAGTTTCACAGTCAGGTGGGCAGTCTGGGCAGCGGTCGGACGATCCAGGACCCAGTATGCCAGATGTTGAAGTTAGGAGTCACAGTGTGGAATGGATTAGCAGGGTCTGGTGCAGGGTAACCGCACACCCCCTGGTATTGAGCACCAGCGTTTGTGCGGCCACATACCAGGACCCTGATGCAGCTTCAGTAAAAAGAGCACTAGATACCAGAAGCCATCATCAGACTGATCCGCAACTTGGAACAGGATGTGACATTCACTGTAGCGGCTGTGCACACTTTCGGTGTTCTCACCCTGCTGCTGCTCACCTGGCTGCGCTGCAGCATTACTTTGGCCTTCCCGCTCAATGCCTCATATGTGATGTGCCTATAAGGTGGAACTCCACCTTGCACATGCTGGAGAGACTGTTTGAGCAGCAGCAGGTGATAGTGGAGTTTCAGCTGCAACATGCATGGGTCAGTGGCTCTGCACCAGACTTCCCTCCAATTGATCAGAGTTAAAGGATTTCAAGTGGACTCATTACAATTACAGGGCATCTAAAGAGTCCTGTATTGTTATTTGTCGTCACTACCTGCCCGCGTTGGGAGTGGGTCATTTGCACGCCTGCTGCATTCCTTGCATGTGGTAGCCGTTTCTCAGGGTCCCTGTACGGAATGGAACCCTGATTCCCCGTTACCCGTAGTCACCATGGTAAGCGCAGAAACTGGCATTGAAAGTTGATATGGATGACATCCGAATGCAAAGTCTGTGTCACGGGATGTGCGATTTGCCCCGAAGTTCTCTAGAGTCAACAAAGTGCCTGCGCAACTATAACGTCAACAGCTACTCTGCGGAACAGAGTTGTCTTTTTTTATATGTCCCAATATTTTGTGGGCTACCCCAATTAAAAAAAATAAATATATATATATATATATATATATATATATATATAAAAAACAGTGTTGGCTACCTCCTCCTCCTCCACCGCTGCTTCCACCTACACCGCCATGGTCACCGCCTCCTCAACCTATGGGTCACTTAGTATAAACTATGTACACAATAGCAGAAGCTTGTGAAGGCCTTTTCTCCATGCATCAGGACTGCAAGAAATGCACCGCAGGCCGCAAATGTTTCTTTTTTTATATGTCCCAATATTTTGGAGGCTACCCCAATTAAAAAAAAACATATATATATAAAAACTGTGTTGGCTACCCCCTCCTCCTCCACCGCCACTTCCACCTACACCGCCACGGTCACCGCCTCCTCAACTTATGGATCACTTAGTATAAACTATGTACACAATAGCAGAGGCATGTGAAGGCCTTTTCTCCATGCATCAGGAGTTGAGAAGAAATCATCAGGACTGCAAGAAATGCACCGCAGGCTGCAAATGTTTCTTTTTTTATATGTCCCAATATTTTGGGGGCTACCCCAATTAAAAAAAAACAAACAATATATATATATATATATATATATATATATATATTTAAAAAACAGTGTTGGCTATCTACTCCTCCTCCACCGCCGCTTCCACCTACACCGCCACGGTCACAGCCTCCTCAACCTATGGGTCAGTTGGTATAAACTATGTACACAATAGCAGAGGCTTGCATGCATCAGGCGTTGAGCTCAGTTTGAACAATGAAAGAGAATACCCTGCACTCCAACCCTCTCTCAAATTGATAATTCTGGTGACCCTCCTGACAGCCATGCTTTAGATTTTGATTTATGTTCTTCCAAAGCTAAAATCAAAGATTCTATCTAGTGCTATTTTATGGCTCAGCTGTATTTTTTATTTTTTTTTAGGTATTTTATGTTATTTTAAGTGATTTCCCTATCCATATTTGTTTGCAGGGCACGTGTCCTACTCTTACCCCCATTTTACTTCCTTTTGCAGCTCTCTAGCCCTTTCCTGGAGTATTTTTAGCGGCATTTTTGTGCCCAAAAGTTCGGGTCCCCAGTGACTTCAATGAGGTTCGGGGTCAAGTTCGAGCCCAAAACAGGACCCGAAAATCCAGGTGTCCGCTCAACTCTAGTGGTCACACTTAAAGTTTGCTGTTCACAAACACAAACCATCCAACTTCAAGGAGCTGGAGCAGTTTTGCAAGGAGGAATGGGCAAAAATCCCAGTGGTAAGATGTGGCAAGCTCATAGAGACTTATCCAAAGTGACTTGGAGCTGTGAATGATGCAAAAGCTGGCTCTACAAAGTATTGACTTTAGGGGGGTGAATAGTTATGCACACTGACTTTTTCTGTTATTTTATCCTATTTGTTGTTTGCTTCACAATAAAAAAAAAACAACAACAAAGAAAATCTTCAAAGTTGTGGGCATGTTATGTAAATTAAATTATGCAAATCCTCAAGCAATCCTTGTTAATTCCAGGTTGCGAGGCAACAAACACAAAAAATGCCAAGGGGGGTGAATACTTTTGCAAGGCATTGTATGTGAGTTCAAATCCTGTCCAGGGCAGACAATGTGCAGAGCTCTTCTGGAGAACTATCACATAGGGAAAATGCACTATATTTGTTAGGCGATGTAATGGCATGTTTGCTTTGGGTTTGCTGGTCATAGCACAAGCAGTGCAATCCCACATGTAACCTTCAAACACATACAAACACATACAACAATACAGGCAGCCTCTATGCACACACAACACCCTCTGCTAGCATTGACCCTCTATTGTTCTCTGATGTTTTCAACCTACCACTTGCCTTCCAAATTCCACCTCTCCTAGCCAGCCCCAGCTCATGATTCCAATAGTGGAGCATCTTTTTTTCCAACTCTAAACCTTTGTCATTTTTTCACCTTTATTCCTGATTTCATTTTTTATTACATCACTTATTCCCTCATCACAATTATCTGAAATATTATTTTACTTTCATGATCATAAATCATCTCATCAAACTTTTGATCACTTATAATATCACTGATTAGTTTGTCACTTTCCACATCTTTTTTTGTCTCACAACAACCTAATAATAAGTTAGGCACCATGAGTCCTAAGTAACCGATCAGTAATAATCTATCTTTTGTGAACATTAAGTGAAATGTAATATTTTTAAACAAATATTAGAAATGTATTCTTCACAGCAAATGCTATTAGGAAATGCATTAAATTCAATATGACTTGATAATATATAAGATCCATAGGTATGGCCCTTCTCGGTCTCTCCGCTCTGCCCATGACCTTCTCCTGTCCGCTGCTCGCACCCGTACAGCCAACTCACGCTTGCGGGACTTCTCGCTTGTAGCTCCCTTCCTATGGAATAGCCTGCCTACCACCATCAGACTCTCCCCTAGTCTTCAATTGTTTAAGAAGTGCCTTAAAACCCATCTCTTTAGGAAAGCTTATGGCCTCCAAGAGTAACCTCTACCCAGTGGTGTATCCTGGTTTTGTGCTGCCCTAGGCAGGACAAAACTCAGGCGCCCCCCTCCCCCCGTGCCACCCCCACCCAACCCTTCCCCCCGTCCCACCTTCTAAATACACACACACACACAGTCAGACACAAACACACACACAGTCAGACACATACACAGACACAAACACAGTCAGACACAAACACACACACAGTCAGAGACACACACACACACACACAGTCAGACACAAACACACACACACACTCACAAACACACACACACACTCACAGTCAGACACACACACACACACACAGTCAGACACAAACACACACACAGTCACATACACACACAGTCAGACACAAACACACACACAGTCACACACACACAGTCAGACACAAACACACACACTCACTCACAAACACACATTAACTTTTTTTTTTATTTAAATCCCCCCCCCCAACCTCCTTACCTTTTGGAGTGCTGGGGGGGGGTCTCTCTCCCTGGTGGTCCGGTGGTCCAGTGGCTGCAGGGCGGGCAGGCGGCGCTGGCAGGCGGGCGGCTGGCGAGGGATCACTTCCTATGAGCTCTCTGCTCAGCTCCCTCGCGCGCCGGCTGCAGAGTGAGGCTGGGAGCCGGAAGATGACGTCATATCCCAGCTCCCAGCCTCACTCTGCGGCGCGCGAGGGAGCTGAGCATAGAGCTCATAGGAAGTGCTCCCTCGCCAGCCGCCAGGACGCTTTCTCTCCTGAAGGGCAGCATTTTACTCTCTCCTCCAGCACTGATTCACTCCCACCTTATTTACCCCACCTCCTATAGACTATAAGCTTTTCTTGTAATTAACCCCCCCCCCTTTTTTTTTCAATGCATTTATATGAGGAACATTCAATAAATGTCTTTATCATTATTTTTCTTGTTCTCCTTGGTGTATTTCTTGTATGGGGTGCTTGGATGTTTAGGCAATGGCTAACATTCATTTTCTTTTCTTTTATTTCTTTTATTTTTTATGTCTTTATTTATTTTGGTATTTTCTATTTTTTATTCTTTATTTTATTTTTCTTTAATTGAAAATATTTGTATATTTATTTTGATTATTTATTATTCTACTTTTTTCTATTTTTTTATTTTTTTATTCTTTATTGTTCATTTTTATAGTTCTTTTCTTTTTAGCATTTGTATTTCCCTTTCCTTGTTTTTCTTTTTATTGCTTTCATGTGGTGAGATATTTGTAGCCCTTTCCTCTGCCCAAACTTTTGCTCCAATACTTTGTGGTCCCTTGGGCATTTGTATTTTGCTGCACCTTAGTGAGGTCTTAGTTTTATTTTCGGAGCCTTGCAGATGCACCAGAGTTAGTGTTGTCATGTTATAACCTTTCTTGTGCACCGTAGGACACCCTTGTTGGGCAGGGGTTCTTCCGTATGACTACACTTGGTGTAGTGCCCTTGCACTTGCATGTTTTATGTCTTTGGCACTTAACACCTTTCTGCATTATTTAAATTTGACACGCATGTGCCCCTTATACTTACCCATTTCTGTTTTGCTTTCCATCTCACATAGCATTAATTACTTGCGTTTCATCTATCTTCAGAGCACTTACCTTTGTTTTTTAAAATTTTTCCTTTATATCTTTTATTTTACTTTATTTTGTGCTACAGTCTATTGCCTGTCTCCAATACCCTGTAACAGATGACAATAACTGTACCAGTTGTGCTCAAACGCTTGCATACCCAGCAAAAATTTTAAAATGTTGGCATTGATTTTAAAAATATGACTGATCATGCAAAATAATGTATTTTATTGAATGACAGTGAATGCCCTTTATTATCACATAGTTGTTTGGCTCCTTTTTAAATCATAACATAAAATAAATCACCCAAATTGCCCTGATCAAACGTTTACATACCCTTGAATGTTTAAAGGTTAAAATGGCAATTAAAGGTTAATTTCCAACACCTGTTGCATGTTATATTATAATTAGTGTCTGTGTATAGTCAATGAGTTTGTTAGCCCTCACATGGAAGCACTGAGCAGGCTAGATACCTAGCCATGGGGAGCAGAAAAGAACTGTCAAGACCTGTGTAAAAAGGTAATGGAACTTTATAGAGATGGAAAAGGATATAGAAAGATATCAAAAGCCTTGAAAATACCAATCAGTACTGTTTAATCACTCATTAAGAAGTAAAAAAAATTTGGGGATCTCTTGATACCAAGCCAATTTCAGGAAGATAAAGAAAAAATTCAACCACAACTGTCAGAAGAATTGTACGGGATACAAAGAAAACCCACAGGTAACCTCAGGAGAAACAAAGGCTGTGGTTGTTTCAAGGAGCACAATATGATGATACTTGAACAAAAATGAGTTACATGGTCGAGTTGCCAGAAAGAAGCCTTTACAGCATCAATGTCACAAAAAAGCCCAGTTACAATATGCCTGACAACACCTTCAAATTCTTCACAGCTTCTGGCACACTGTAATTTAGAATGACGAGACCAAAATAGAGCTTCATGGTCACAACCATAAGCGCTATGTTT